GCCCAGCCGCCCTCGCTCCCACGGGCAGGAGTCAGGGACACAGTCACTGCAGGCATGGGCCACGTGAAAGCACAGCCATGAGTGGGCGTGTGGACACCGGGGTGGACAGCAGGTGGGTGGGGCATGTTGACAGCGAGGTGGACAGTGGGCAGGGCGGGGCGTGTGGGCAGTGAGGGGGACAGCAGGTGGGGGGCATGTGGACAGCAGGCGGGGCGGCGATGTGGGCAGTGAGGTGGACAGCAGGCGGGGCAGGGCCATGTGGACAGCAGAGTGGACAGAAGGCGGGGCGGGGCACATGGACAGCAGGGTGGACAGCAGGTGAGGGGGCGTGTGGACAGTGGGCGGGGCGTGTGGGCAGCGGGGTGGACAGCAGGCAGGGAGGGGCATGTGGACAGCGGGGTGGACAGTGGGCAGGGTGAGGCGTGTGGACAGCGAGCAGGGCGTGTGGACAGCGGGTGATTGCAGAGCATGTGGACAGCGGGAGGGGTGGGGTGGGGCGTGTGGACAGCTGCTGGATGCGAGTGTGTGGACAGTGGGTGGAGCAGGGCGGGTGGACAGCAGGTGGACACAGGGCATGTGGAGAGCAGGCAGGGCAAGGCGTGTGAACTGTGGGCAGGGTGGGGTGTGTGGACAGTGGGCAGAGCAATACCCGTGACTTAGAACCAACACGCACAGTGGGGGGTTGATGTGCGTGCTCCGGTTGGCGATGATGTCTGGGTGGGCACCTGAAAAGCCAGGGGGCCGGCTGGCTGGTCCCCTGTACTCACGGCCACCAGCAGTGACAGAGCGCATTGGGAGCAGACCCGGGAGGGGTGCCTGCACCCGTGCAGGAAAGCGGCTCTGCCCAGGCCCCGTCGGCCACTGATGCCCCTCCCCACTTGACAGATGAAGTGACTGAGGCTCCAGCACGACATGGAGCTCAAGTGGGCCATGGCAATATGCTGCCCTCTGGCCGGGCGAGTCACTCCTGTCACTCCTGTGTCTGAATCTCAGCCGCCACATGCAGGACAATGGAGGCTGCGATGTGGTGGTCCTCTTAGCTCAATGCCCAGCCCACGAGCGCTCAGGAGCCAGCAGCTTTTACCACGTGCCCTGAGCTGCGTGGGACCAGAGGCAGGTTTTGAACCCATGTCGGTCAGATGCCAAGCCCATGCTTCCCCCAGCAAAGGCTGCAGCATGGGGAGGAGCACATCTGGGCTGCTTCCCGGCTCAGGAGGAGGGCTGGGGGCAGTGGCTAGGCATGGGCGCCCCCGCACGGGGCCGCCGTCTGCAGCCCCAGAGGCTGTCCGGGTTCTCCAGCAGGGTGGCTGAGCGGCACAGGCACGAAGGGGCTCGCCATCGCCGGGGTCTCCCTTTCCTCTGCTTGCGGCCAGCGTGGGGACCGAGATGTGGGCGCAGGCTGGCACCGGGCCAACGGGCTGGGGTGGCTCAGCCTCTCCGGAGCCGGGCAGGCCCTGGGCAGAGCTCTGCTTGTGTGGAAGGCCCTGTGAGCACCCCACGGAGGCTGCAAGAGGTGGGCACAGGGGAAGGAGTCACAGTGCAGCTCAGGGAGAGCACGTGGCCAGCAGGGACGGCCAGGGAGGGCCTCCTGGAGGAGGAGACTGCGGCCACAGCCTACGCTGTGGTCTCAGTTGAGGGGCCGCCAGATAGAGCAGCCGGGATCTGCAGCCCTGGCCGGGCCCAGGCTCCTCCTGTGCCGCCCGAGTAGCATGGCTCCCCGGCCCAGAAGAGCCTGGGTCTGCCAGCTGGGGCTCCTTGTCCATCCTGAGCCAGGTCCCAGGAGCTACGGGGACACCACCCAGACTGAGGTCGGGCTCACAGTCACCCTGGACCACCTGTCCTCAGCCAGAAGCACACCTAGATTGGCCGACGCCAGCCACACGATCTCCCCCCAGCCACGAACAACCCCCGCCAGGGCGACCTGCTGGGCTGCCCGACCCCATCTCCCCGACCCGCGTCCATGCCCAGCCTGTGTCTCTCCGGGTTCTAATCACCCCGCCCTGCCTCCCCTAGGGGGACTGGGCCCTGCCAGTCTGGGCAGAGCCCCCTCCCCTCCAGCAGAGGCTCTGGAGCTTGAACCACAAGGGAGAGCCCTGGCTCCTGCTGGGGAGTCGGGGGGAGCAGACGCGGAGTTCAGAGCAAGAGTGGGGGCAGGAAGACCCTCAGCACAGACCGGGCAGACACACACACACACACACACACAGGCACACGCACCCCAACCCCACACAAGGGCTGCTTCACCCTACGCCTGTGCCCTGGACTCTCGGTGTGGTGCTCCAGGCGGCAGCGCGGTGATTCCTGGCACAAGGGCAGATGCTTGGAGACCCACGGCCACGCCCCGCCATGCCCCAAGGCCACGGGGTACACCGTGCAGAGCCTGGGTCGCCAGCCACGGAGCTCCAGGCAGAGCAGACAGGGCCGACATCTCACCGGCCACCTGTGTCTATTCGGTGTCACATGAAGACGCGTGTCCCCCACAGTCCCGAGCAGGTCCCAGCGGGCACAGTTACAGCCCAGGATGGCAGATCCAGCCGCCTCAGGGGCCCCGCCTGAGTGGCCGTGAGGGAAGGTAAGGCCGTGAGGGACCCCAGGAAGCCCAGTCTTCCTGGAGGAGGCCATGTCCGAGCAGACAGGCAGGTGTCCCCTGAGGCTGGAAGGGCAGGGGGGCAGGGGCCAGGGCAGGGCAGGGGAAGGCAGCAGGTGAATGGCGTGTCCATAGCACAGGCTGGCAGACGGATGGGGGGCTGGGGAAGCGGGTGTGGGTGGTAAGGCCACACCATGCCCGGGGGGGCGGAGGTCAGCCTCACTTTGAACTGGGGGCAAGGAAGAACCTGGTGAGTTAATCGAGGTGTCCTGAGGCACCCCATCTCTGTCGAGGCTCCTGGAGAGGCCAGGAGGATCAGCTCAGCCCGGATCCCTGTGCCCCCAACTCAAACTGGCCCAGCTACGTTCCTGGCTAATCTCCTCAATCAGGTGGAGGTTGCCTAAGCAACCATCAGCCGCAGTTGGGGAAGACTGGGTGGTCTGTCTACACCCAGAGGGGCTCCGAGGGCAGGTCCCTGTGGGGGAGAGGGCAAAACAGCGGGTATGTCACAACCGCATACCATGAGGCTGTGGCGTGCCAAGGCACGCAGGGGGACGGGTAAGGGGGGTTTTCAGGGGTAAGCATGTCCAAAGGGGGGTGCATGTGCTGAAAGAGGGGACTGTGCAGACGTGTGTGAGCGTGTGCGTGAGCGTGTGCGTGAGTGTGAGCCACCGCACTGTGCACCAGACCCCCCTCATGCCCGCAGCTGTTCTTCGAGGGCCCCGAGTAAGCACCCAGCTCCCATCAGGCTTCTGTCCAGCGGTTTGTCCACAGAACGTCCAGTGCCCAAGAGTGGCCCCAGGAGGAATCAAACTGCTCCTCACAGACCCGAACTTAGGACCGGGGTCTCACCCTCCCTGGCTGGGGAGCCTGATCACAACCCCACAACGCGGTCTAGTCCATCTTCTGAAGCCACACCTCCTAGGTAACCACCCCAAGCCTGGAGCCAACATTGGTCACCCCGGCACTCCTGCCCAGCCCGGCCCTGCCCCGGCTCCCCACCCCAGCCCTGTGTGACTGGACCTGCTGACTGCCTCAGCCAGCCTGCCACTGACCAACCACCCCCTCTCAAGGCCCGTGACTCCCACCACAGGCCAGGCCCACTCACCTCCCTCTCTCCTGCCCCAGGTCAACACCACACACTTGGGCAGGGGCCCCCAGAGGCCAGCAGAGCCCCAGCTGACCAGCAGTCATCAGGGGCAGGGCTGGCAGCAAACGCTCATGTCTAATCACTCAGGGCTCGGGGTGGCTACGGCCCAGGAGACCCGGACAGCCGAGTGGCAGCACTGGCAGGGGCCGAGACGAAGCCCAGCAGAGCCAGCGCCCTGCCCCCTCCACCAAGCACAGAGGAATGCATGCCGCAGAAGACAGGCCAGCCCACTCCCAGGCGCCCCTCAATATGTGGCAAGCCCGCCACAGTGCGCCTGCAGGGGTTAACGCAGGCAGGGCCAGTGCCACACGGAGACGAGGCCCGGGGCAGGCGGGCTGCAGAGGCCGGGCAACTCAGTCTGCAGGCACCCCGTGTCCTACCAAGGAGGTGCGCCAGGGCGGGGAGCCACTGCACCAGGTGGAGCCACGCCAGGACTGGGGTCTGGATCCCGGGGCGACCTGAACTCGCTGGCATGCCCATGATCCTGGCCAGCTGGAGGGTCGGGGTCACACATCTTTCTCTCTCTCTGGAAGGACGTTAAAAGAGGAAGACAAAGAGGAAGCCAGGGTACAGGCAGGGCACCAGCTCCAGCCGTGTCCCGCCATGCAGAGGTCCCTCTGCCTTCACAGAAGCCCCGGGCCCGGACGGGGCGGGACGGGGCC